AGCGGCGTGGCAGTGGTCCAGGCACTTACCCATTCCTAAAAGCCGTCTTTATCCGACGGCACTTGGCACCTGGGGAAATTCCACTGAAACCGCCTCAAATTTTCAAACTTTTATTTACATAAGTAACCTAGCACAGTCTTGAGTGTATTAGTCAGACTAGGCTAGACCATGCTGCAGTAACAGTTGACCCCCAAATCTCAGTGGCTTAACCCAGACACCAGTTTCTCACTAATACAAGGTCTGGAGCAACTCTCCAGGGTAGCTATCCTCTAGACAGTTTTGATCTTGTGGCTCCAACATCACACAAGGGTTTCTGGTTTGTCATGGCCTGAAGGGAGAAGTGATGGTGACTCTTCTAGCTTAAAAAAATGCTCATCAGTATTTATATCTTCGAAAAGCTAGAGATGTCCATTTAAATGTTATTACCAGGAAAGCAAATGCTTAAGTCACACGACCAATCAGGATTACAACCTTCTTAGAGGCTAAAGAACACTTGGCGGCAGTTTTGAAATCATATGTCTTACACAACTTGTGTAAAATAACAGAAAGGCAGTTTTATGCTACAGCGTGGTTTGTGTTCTTCTGCAGGCCAAGGGGAAGAGGAACCCTTTTCTCCTCTGGTTGAGATTTCTTTCATGGGCTGTTTGGACGGCCTGTGTGTTTCAAGGGCAAGCACTGGAATTCCGTGAGTTAGCACCAAGAGGAAATGGAGAGACCTGAGAGGCTCAGAACTTAGGATATGGAAAGAGAAAAGGGAGGAATAGAAACATTAACAAATGGAAGATGATAAGTGGGATACAGGGCATGATAGGGTAATAACAACCACTAACATAAAAGGCTTTCTGTGGGCCGGGCCCTTGTTCTTAGCAATTGATAGAAATGTATTGCATTTAGGCCACCAGCCACTCTGTCAGACAGGAATTGTTAAAAGCCCCATTTTACCATTGGGCAGACTGAGGCACAGAGAGGTTAAGTAACATGCCCAGCAAGGAGCACATCTGGAATTCAAATCCAGGCAGCCTGGGACCAGAGCCTGTGATTTTAAGGACTATACTGTTTGCATTCGCAACAGAAACCAGTCTTTACAGTGAATAAAGGGAAAGGTTTTAATTAGACTGAGCCAGACACAGAAAGATAAATATGGCATGATCTCATATATGTGGAATCAAAAAAAAAATTGTCAAACTCATAGTAACAGTGAGTGGAACAGTGCTTACCAGAGGCGGTGGGGGAAAAGAGATATTGATCAAAGGGTATAAACTTCCCATTATAAGATGAATAAATTCTGGAGACCTAATGTATAGCATGGCAGCTATAGTAAATAATAACTAATTGTATACTTGAAATTTGCTGAGAGAGTAGATCTCAAGTGTCCTTACCACACACACACACACACACACACACACACACACACACACACACACACAAATTGGAACTATAAGAGGTGATGGATATGTTAATCCGTTTGATTGTGGTGATCGTTTCATAATGTATACTGTTAACCAGACTTTCAGAAACGGAGACTGACTGAAATAAAGAGGCATTTATTTGGGGTTTGTTAGAACTGAAGCCCAGGAGACCCAGACTCAAGAAGTACTTGAGGGCATCCTAATAAAGAAATACATATATATGTATTACAATTTAAAAAAAAAAAAGAAGAAGCAACTTGAATTGTGTTCCACTGGACTACAAATGAAGGAAGCTTCTAAAGGCAAAAACTGCAAAGCCACAATTAGTTACATTAGTTGTTTATCAAGAATTATAATTAGATGATACAGCCACTATGGAGAACAGCATGGAGGTTCCTTAAAAAACCAAAAACAGAACTACCACATGACCCAGCAATCCCGCTACTGGGCACATACCCTCAGAAAACCATAATTCAAAAAGAGTCATGTACTGCAATGTTCATTGCAGCACTATTTACAATAGCCAGACATGGAAGCAACCTAAATGCCCATTGACAGATGAATGGATAAAGAAGATGTGGCACATATATGCAATGGAATATTACTCAGCCATAAAAAGAAACAAAATTGAGTTATTTGTAGTGAGGTGGATGGACCTAGAGTCTGTTATACAGAGTGAAGTAAGTCAGAAAGAAAAACAAATACTGTCTGCTAACGCATATATATGGAATCTAAAAAAAAAAAAAAAAACGTTCTGAAGGGGCAGGACAAGAATAAAGATGCAGACGTAGAGAATGAAATTGAGGACACGGGGAGTGGGAAGGGTAAGCTGGGACGAAGAGAGTGGCATGGACATATATACACTACCAAATGTAAAATAGATAGGTAGTGGGAAGCAGCCGCATAGCACAGGGATATCAGCTTTGTGATCACCTAGAGGGGTGGGATAGGGAGGGTGGGAGGGAGACGAAAGAGGGAGGAGATACGGGGATATATGTATATGTATAGCTGATTCACTTCATTATAAAGCAGAAACTAACACACCATTGTAAAGCAATTATACTCCAATAAAGATGTTTAAAAAAAAAATCAAGCTGGCAAGAAGTAGGGTGTTTGTTAGAAAAGGATTGGTTGGGGTCAGAATGGTTGCATCTTTAAAACGGGGAACAACCCTGAGACACAAGGTTCCAGGTAGCAGATGTTGTTTTAAAAATGGCTGGTGTCCTTGGGTTAGTATAGTTCACAGAAAGTTCAAGTTCTCAGTGTTGCACGGAAGTCCTGAGACCAGATCCTCATTGGCTGCCCAGTTCCATTTTTGTATGTCTGAACTATGATCACTCCATTATAATTTTAATTTGTCATATATACATATGTGGCAAATTAGAGTTATTTATATATATATATACACATATATAAACAAGTTGTACACTTTAAATATAGACAGTTGTTATTGGTCAAAGATAAATAAATGAAAATAAAAAGAAAAGAACTTTGTCTTGCAGGGCAAAGTGAAGTTATGAGCACAAGTTTATTTTGACTTCAATTTTGATATCCCAGCTTATAACTGGGACTGTACACTGAATCTTAGAATAAAAAAATAAAATAATTTTGCTTTTTTCTTTTGCTATTTACAATATATTCATTGGAAATGCCTATTGCACTGTCATCCCTGTTGAGTTTCTCTGCTTCATTCTCTGCATAAGTTTCATCCTGCTCTTATGGGCTAAATTCATATTTAGCAAAAATTCATATTTTTAGGAAACTCTAACCCTGAGTATCTCAGAATGTGTCTGTATTTGGAGATAGGGCCTTTAAAGAGGTAATTAAAGCGAGGTCTTTAGGGTGGGCCTGCTGTGGTCTGAATATTTGTGTCCCCCCCCCCAAATTCATATGTTGAAATGAAATGCCCAGTGTGATGGTATTAGGAGGTGGGGCCTTTGGGAGGTGGGTAGGTCGTAAGGGTGGAGCTCTCATGAATGGGATTAGTGCCCTTATAAAAGAGACCCAGAGAGTTCCCCATCCCCTTCTTCCATGTGAGGACACAGGGTGAAGTTGTCAGTCTGTATCCCAGAAGAGGGCCTTTACCATAACCCAGCCACGATGGCACCTTGATCTTGGACATCCCAGTCTCCAGAACTGTGAGAAATAAATTTCTGTTGATTGTAAGCCACCCAGTAGTCTGTGATATTTTATTATAGCCACTCAAACAGACTAGATAGGCCCTAATCCAATTAGAAGAGGGGATTAGAACACAGACAGAGGGACAACCATGTGAGGACACAGTGAGAAGGCAGCCATCTGCAAGTCAAGGAGAGAGGCCTCAGAAGAAGTTAAACTTGCTGATACCTCGATCCCGGACTTCTAGCCTCCAATATTGTGAGAAGATAAATTCCTGTTGTTTAAGCCACCTAGTCTATGGTATTGAGTTGTGGTTGCCCAAGCAAATGAATACACCTGCTGTATCCTCATTTGTTGTAGGCTCTATGTGTGATTTTGCCTTTGATTTTTTAAAGTATTAGGAAGTATTCCAGAAATACACAAGGCTTAGAGAATAATGTAGTGAACACCCATTACCCCTCTAAGTTAGTCAGGATAGGGTAGGATGTGCTGCAGTAACAAGTAAACCCTGAAATCTTAGTGGCTTAATACAATGTAAGTTTATTTGCCCATCATGAGATTGCGACGTGGACCAGGCAGCCCTGCTTCATCTTGTACCTATGCCATCTGGAGTATGGACCATCTGGGCCGTCCCTGCAGAGGACGGGTGGACAGAGGAGGTACTTGGGCTCTTAACTGCCTCAGCCGGGAAGTGACTTCCATTCACAACCCATTGGCCAGAAGTAGCCAGAGCTAGTGGCCCCAATCTCACTGCAAAGGATCCTGGGAAGTGAAGGGGAGGATGTGGTTATCTGGTGAGCACTAATGGTCTCTACCTTCCCCATAACATGGTTCAAGAAATGAGCATCACAATTACAGTTGAAGACCCTCAATGCTTCCATGATTGGAGCAGTTCTGCAGAACTTTTATTGACCTCAAGCCATTCTCATATCTTTTGTGAGCTCTGCAGTTTCACTCTGCATTTGTTCTGCTCTGTACCTGCCCTGGGCCATTAGGGAGAGACAGGTGCTAGAGGCTGGACACAGGGTGAGAACTCATTCCCCCCCACCTTGGCCACGCCATGTGGCATGCGGGATCTTAGTTCCCTGACCAGGGATCAGAACCGTGCCCCCTGCAGTGGAAGTGCAGAGTCTTAACCTCTGGACCACCAGGAAGTCCCTGAGAACTCATTTTACGAGTGGCCACTTTGTGGGAATTCCCTGGCGGTCCAGTGGTTAGGATGCTGCACTTCCACTGCAGGGGGCACAGGTTCAATCCCTGGCCAGGGAACTAAGATCATACATGCCGTGCAGTGCAGCCAAAAAAAGAAAAAAAAAAGAAGTGGCCACTTTCTGAGAGAGGGTATTCCAGGTATGATAACTTTTCTTCTTTCTGTAATCTCATCATCATGGGGAACTCAGGTGACTACTCGTTGGCAGTGGATTAAGTTTTCTTTCAGCTTCCTGTCCCCCCACCCCACTTCTGTTTTCTAGCATGATCTCCTGTCCAGACTGTGGCAAAGGTGTTGAAGCAACTTTCAAATTCTGCCCCTACTGCGGAAAATTTCTGCCTACAGAGGAGCACGAGGGGTCCCAGACCTTTGTCAAGCCGTCTATGTCATCCTCCCAAGGTAAGAACCAGGGCTTTATGCTTCTCCCTTTAAGAGGGGTGATGTGTGTGCGTGCGTGCGTGTGTGCGTTTGGGAAGGAAGGACAGACACCTTTGCAGTCTGCCTGACCCTGCATGGATACTGGAGAAGCCCAGAGCTCAGGCTCTCCCTATACAGTTTCTTGGCGTTTTATCGGGCTCGTGGCTCTGAAGTTGACAACTCATGCATTTCTGTCTCCAGCTTGGACTCTTCCCCTGAAATCTACATTCATATATATCAGACTCCCTGCTTGACATCTATTGGATGTCCCATAAGTGTCTCCTCATGCCCAGAACTAAGCTCCTGATATGACTGCCACCCCCGACCTGCCCCTTCCATAGGCTGTCCCATCGAGGTAACAGCCGTTCAGCTTATTCAGTTTCTCAGACCATGGAGTCATCCTCAAGTCCTCTTTCTCTCCCACCCTATGACTGCAGCCCTCCAGCAGATCTCATCAGCTCTCCCTTTAAAAGTCAATGCCGAGGACTTCCCTGATGGCACAGTGGTTAAGAATCCACCTGCCAGTGCAGGGGACACAGGTTTGATCCCTGGTCCGGGAAGATCCCACATGCCACGGAGCAACTAAGCCCGTGTGCCACAACTACTGAGCCTGAGCTCTAGAGCCCACAAGCCACAACTACTGAGCCCATGTGCCACAACTACTGAAGGCTTTGCGCCTAGAGCCCCATGCTCCGCAACAAGAGAAGCTACTGCAATGAGAAGCCCGTGCACCACAATGAAGAGTAGCCCCCACTCGCCTCAACTAGAGAAAGCCTGTGAGCAGCAACGAAGACCCAAGGCAGCCAAAAATAAATAAATAAATTTCTTTTTAAAAAAACTCAATGCCGAATTGGAGCACTTCCTGCCACCACCCTGATCCATCTCACCCTCACCTCCCCAATATTGTAGAAGCTTTCTTCCCCTGGTCTCCCTGCTTATTCTCTGTTCCCCGCAGCTCTCTTCAAGTGGCAGCCTGATCGACCCTGTTAAAACAAAGTCAGACCCTGTCATTCCCCTGCTCACTACCTTCCCAGGTTAAGCCTGACGTGATCAGGTCCCTGTTGCCTCTCAGAGCTCATCTCCTAACCCTGGACCTCTGAGCTGTTGCACTTGCTGTTCTCTCTCTCTGGGTGGTTCTTCCCTCATCTGGTGCATGACCCCCTCTCTCACTTTCTTCAGGTCTTTATGCAGTTGTTGCCTGCTCAGAGAGGCCTCCCCTGACACCTCTAATTAAATTGCATCCTCCTACATGTGACAGCCCCTGTCCCCTGATGATCATGGCAATGAGAAACTCATTGGATGGTTTAAACTCCAGACTAGACACTCTCTGAAGGAGAGCAGTGAACTGGAAGACAGATCTGAAGAAGGTACCTAAAGGACACCACACTGTGGTAAAGTGCTTGAGGATATAAAGGAGAGGCTAAACCTCTCTTAGGAAAGAATAACTAAACAGAGGAAAGTTTGTTTAGATGATTTAGGTGATAGCAGTAAACCTTGGCTGTGAGGGTCAAAGGGAAGAGAGTGTTGAATATGACCTCAGCGTTTCTGGTTTAATGGTTCCTGGGAAGGACTTCTGTAACCCCAGTGTGCATTCGGTCTTCCTTTCTCTAGGCTCGAGGAAAAGGAGGAACACCAGTTCTGAAATATCTCCCAAGAAAGTGAAATGGCCCAGCTGCGCCTCCTCTCCCCCATCATCCCTTCCCTCAGAAGGTGACAGTTCTGAATCTGAAGATACCTTCAGTACCTGTGAGAAACCCAGAGATGAGAGTTATGCTCAAAATGGGGAAAAGGAGGGTTATCTGACAATGTTTGAGGCATCATGCCTCTGCTCAGGCATCACATACGCCTGCTTGGACCCTCCTCCCAGGATCCTCCCCCACCTTCCAGCCCACAGGCTCCCCCTCCAGTCCATCCCTACATGGCCAGAGGTGACCTCACCCCTCCCTGCTCACAGCCCCCTACCGTCCCCATCGCCCCACTGTCTGGGCTCTTCAGCCTGACCTCTGAGACTATGGTCTGGTTCCTCCTTTAGCTCTCACCACAACCCTGTACACAGAAAACTCACTTTTGGAAATACTTTTTAGGGTTTTCAGCTTCTGGTCTTGGCTAAGTCTGTTCCTTCAGCCCTAGGGCCTCTTTCCAGCACTCAGGGTCAGATCTCTAGGAAGCCTTTCCTGAATGCCATAGGCTGGATCAAGTCCACCTCATCTCCCTCCAGAGCCTGTCTTTGTCCTCTTTGTCTGGGCTCCCACAGTGCCAGTGATGTCCTCATTTGAGTTCATGTGTCCTCCAGGCTCCATGTCCCTTTCTGCCTTGCTTGCTGGACTGAGAGTCCCTCGTGGAGAGGGACCAGGTGGACTCATTTGTGTATGCCCTGTGCCAGCCAATGAGCAGGGAAGGGTGAGGGCCATATGCCCGTCTCCTTCCCACTGGGTCTTTGGATCTCAAGTCACAGCCCTTCGGTGTCTCCTCTTTCTCCCTTGTTATTCTCTGGGCCCCACGGCCTCTTCCCATCTGTGCCTTGGGTGGATGGCGGCTGGGAGGAGTGAAGCAGGGAATATCTTTTCCTGTGTCCCTATCTCACCACACTGCCCTCATTGTCTTGCCAGTCTAGGAGCCCCTCAAAGGCAGGGCCTCAGTCTAACAAATGTCTGGTCCCTCTTCATGCTCAGCACAAAACCAGGTCCTGTGTTAGGATGTTTTGTGTTGAATGTCTGGAATCGTTTTTTTTTCCTCCCTGGCAAACTTCTACTCATCCAATAGGACCCAACTCAAATGTCCCCTCCTCCATGGAGCCTCCCCTGACTTTTGCAGGCACAGTCAGTCTCTTTCTCCTATTCCTCTGTACTGCCCTGTCTCAGACTCAGTTCTGACCAGCTGTGTCCAGGTCAGTCTCCCCGACCAAATTAGAGGCTCCCAAGGGAAGGGTCCAGATCCAACTCACGTCCGGGTCCCCAGCTTCAGCACACAGGATCCATGAAAGGTCCGAGGAAGTTTTTGTTGAATGGACAAATGAATAAATGAACAGTATTATGAGCGCCGTCTGATTACCCACCCAACTTTTTCTCTCCCGGATGCCGCCTTTTCTTTATTCTCACCATCCTCCTGCAGGGTGCTGGAGCAGATCCCCAACCTCCCAGAGCAGCCCTCGGACAACCAGGCAGAGCCCTCGGTCACTGAAGCGGAGCCGGGTGACCACCTCGCTCAAGGCTTTGCCAGAGAGGACGGTGCTGATAGACAAGAGTGGGTGGCACTGGAAGCTGAGATGCCTTCAGAGCAGGGATGGCCAGGGCATTCTCTATGAAGGTACACTCTGTCCACAGGTGGGCAGGTGCTGGGCTGGGCTGGGCTGGGCTGGGCTGGGTCGGGTCGGGCCATCTTGGAGCCAAGGCAAAGGGGAGGGAACCACTTTCTGAGAATGGAGATGGAGCCGTATCCCAGCTGCAGACCTGCCTCGAGGCAGCTTTCTCTTAGAGCTGGGACTGCAAACCTATGCACCTACAGCGCAGCTGGGAAGGTAGAGTAAATGAGTGCAGGAGGCTGGGAGTCAGGCAATTGGGAGTGGTCTGGTCAACCAGAGCGCAGGTGCCCTGGATAAAGAGGACACTTCTCCACCGCCACCTACTGTCGTCACATGGGAGTGCAGGCCCAGTGTGGCCGGAAGATAAGGACAGCGATCACTGTCTGTCTGTCCTGCAGAGATAGGATGGACCCTTCCTCCAAATTTGGTTTGAATGTTGAGACCGATGAGGATATGAAAGGTTTACTGCTTGTGTAATTGATATCTCTGGTGGGGGGAGAAGCTCTGTGAGAACAAGGAAGAGCACCTAGCCCCAGTTTTTACTGTGGTTAAGGGGCAGGGCTGGGGTGAGGGTTCTGCCCGGGCCAGGGCCTCATTTGGTTTGAATCTCTGCTGTCACCAAAATAGGGAGCTCCAGGCTTTCTTATCAGTGGGATGGGAAGAGGCAGGGCTGGGCTTTAAAGTTAAACAAAACAACAGTGTAAAAATGCAGCAAGACAACTTGTTACAATGAAGGAAAAAATAACTGCACTGGAAATGTTAGTATTAATCAACCTAGCATTAACTGAGTGCTTACTCCAGGCCAGGCCTTGTTCTAAGCACTTTATGTGGTTTTATGAGGTTTTTTGCATTTTTTAAAATTGAGATAAAACTCATATAATGTAAGATTCACCATTTTAAAGTCTACAGTTCAGTGGGTTTTAGTAGATTCACGATGGTGCGCATCCGTCACCACCATCTAGTTCCAGAGTACTTCTATCACCCCAAAAGGAAACCCTGTACCTTTACCAGTTACTCTCATCCTCCTCCCCCCGCAGCCCCTGGCAACCACTAATCTACTTTATGTCTCTGGATTTGCCTATTCTGGACATTTCAGATAAATGGAGTGATACTCTCTGTGGCCTTTTGTGTCTGGCTTCTTCCCCTCAGCACGATGTTTTCAAGGTCCAACCATGTTGTCACTTTTGTCAGAACTTCCTTCTGTTTTATGGCCGAATAAGATTCCAGGGTCTGTATATATCACATCTGGTTGATCCATTTATCAGTTGGTGGATGTTTGGGCTGTGTCCACTTCGGGCCATGATGAATAATGCTGCTGTGATCGTGCGTGTACAGGTTTTCACGTGGACATATGTTTGCTTTATACTTCTTAACCCGTTTAATTCTCATGACAGCCTCATGATGTCAGCAAGGTCATTATCCCCATTTTCTAGATAAGGAAAATGAAGCCCAGGGGTGTTAATGACTAGACAGAGATCTGGCTCCAGAGAGCTTCCAAGCTTGCAGGAAGAGCCAGAGATCGGGATTTTGAGAGGAAATCTCTGATTTGGAAGCACCGGCCGGCCAGACACGGGTGCCAGCAATTTCGAGCCTCAGGTTGGCCATCCTGCCTTAGAGCCTGGGCAGGAGGGCAGAGCAGCCACATTTGAGACAGACCCAGGTGGGGACTTCCCTGGTGGTCCAGTGGTTAGGACTCTGCTTCCACTGCAGAGGACCTGGGTTCATTCGATGTCACATGGGAGATCTCACGTGCCATGCGGTAAGGCCAAAAAAAGGAAAAGAAATGGACCCAGGTGGAGTCGTGACTTGGCTCTGGCACACTGAGTGAGCCTGGGCGAGCAGCTCTGCCTTGATGTCCCAGTTGGGAAAGTGAGAGATGGTGTCCTGCCCACCTCCCGGGGCTGTTGGTCCCAGACGGTGAGAAGGGACAGGGGCAATGAGCTTGGAAAACGGTAAAGGGATCTTCTCAGGCGGAGGTAGGTAGCATTAGTCATGGAGGGACAGAGGGCAAGGGAGGGAGAGAGGAGAGCATAAAGGGACACTAGGGAGCGCACACTCCATGCCAGGCGCTGTTCCGGGGCCCATTTAATGCTCCCAGCCACGCTAGGAGGGAGGCACTCATGTTACTTCATCTTACAGCTGGAGCACAGAGAGGGGAAGCCACTCGCCCAAGGTCGCACAGCCTCAAAGTGACAGAGCTGGGATTTGAACCTAGGTGTAATTCGTAACCATTACACCACAAGAGAGGGAGGGAGGGAGGGAGGAGGAGGGAATCGGAGTGAGAAGGAATGAGAGGAAGAGAAAGGATAGAGGGGCAGAACCAACAACAAGAAGGGCTGGGGAGAGAGAAGTATGGGGAGAGGCCCAGAGGGCTGGGAAGGAAGAGGGAGAAGAAAGACAAGGCAGGAGGCATCTGAAGGAAAAAAACCGAGCTGTGTCCTCACATCAGAAACCCACAGTGGAAGGTTAGGAAGGAAATGCTGTGGGCCGTGTGTCTTCACCTTTTGTGTCGGGTCTTCCCAGCCCGCCAGCATCATTCATTCTCCCAGTGCGAGGCCCGGGTGCTGGCTCGGGCACAGTGGGGAGGGGGCTGCATGTGGATGTACCTCAGGGCGGCGTTACCCCAGGACAGGTTGCCTTTGGCTTCTGCCAGTTTGCACCAGTCGGGAAGATGTAGTTGAAAACAGTGAGAGTAAAACAACAGCAGCAAGCAGAATGGTGATTTTTATTATAGCAGCTGTGACGCTTCCAGCCCACTCTGCACCCCCACCCCCGCTAAGCTCTCTATGTCTGTTAACTCACCTGATTCCCATAGCAGCTGACACTTCCAGCCCGCTCTGGGCCCCCCAACCCCCGCTGAGTTCTTCATGTCTGTTAACTCACCTGATTCCCATAACAGCCCTGTGAGTTGGCACGCTCTCTTACTTTGTGAAACACTGAATTATAACGTCATCCTCCCTGGTCTCCCTGTCCCAGTTTGGGAGACCTATCACCAAGGCAACCAGGTAAATCCCAGCAGCTGCGGTATGCGTGGAGAGTTGTTTCTGAGAAGCAACTGGGATTCAAGTCCCAGGCTGCCCCACTGTGGATGGAGGTTCGGGGCTTGTATTCATTTCCTGTGGCCACCATCACAAATCACCACAAACTTAGTGGCTGAAGACAGCACACATTTATTCTCTTCTAGTTGTGGAGGTCACAAGACTGAAATCAGTCTCACAGAGCTAAAGTTAAGATACGGGCGAAGGGACTTTCCTGGTGGTCCAGTGGTTAAGACTCTGCACTTCCACTGCAGGGGGCACGGGTTCGACCCCTGGTCAGGGAACTAAGAACCTGCATGCCGTGCAGCATGGCCAAAAAAATAAAATTAAAAAGAAAAAAGAGATATGGGTAGGGCTAGTCCTTCCAAGAGGCTCCAGAGGCAAATCTGTTTCCTTGCCTGTTCAGCTCCCAGAGGCCGCCTGCATCCCTCGGCTTGTGGCCCCTTCCTCCATCCTCAAAGCACATCACCCCAGGCTCTGCTTCAACCATCACATCGCCTTCTCCTCTTCTGTGGTCAAATCCCCCTCTGCCTCCCTCTTTATAAGGACGCTTGTAGGATTACATTAGGGCCCCCTGGATCATCCAGGACAGTCCCCACAGCACAGGACCCTTAATTTAATCACACCTACAAAGACTTGCCATTGGTTCTCTCCACCTGCAGCCCCTTAACACGACGTATTTCTCCCAGTGGCGGCCCTGAGCCTCTCCCTGGTCCTCGGTTTTAGCTGCTCTGGGAGAATGGTTGCCTCCCTTTTCGAGGGGTCCCCCAGGGGTCCTTTAGGGCTTGTTTTAAGTACGCAGTTAACTCTCAGCCCCAGTACCCTTGGCATTCATTGTGGGGGCCGTTCTGTGCACGATAGGGTGTTTGGCAGCATCCTCGACCTTTACCCATCCCCTCTCCCAGTTGTGACAACAAAAACTGTTGCCAGACATGGCCAGATGCCCACTGGGGGGCAGAACCGCTCATGGTTGAGAACCACTGAGTCAGGCCGTCCCAGACGTGCCCTCCAAAGACAGAGACCCTGTCAGCTGGTAACTGTGAGGTGGAATCACTACTCTTTAAGCGCCTTTCAGCTGTGCCCACAACAAAGGTTGGGCCAGAGAAGGGCAGGCCAGGCAGAGGCACGGCACAGGCAAAGACTCGGAGGCTGGAAACCCGCGCAGGAAGCGTCAGGATCCTGGTGTTGCTGATGGTGGGGCGTGGAAATGGCCGGGGCACCTCTCAGGCAGGAGTCCCCAGCCAGGTCTAGGGAGGTGGGAAAGCATAGGCAGACCAGTTGAGTTAGCCTTCTGCCTCTGCCAGCAGCTCGTTGTCTGTTCTTCCTCGAGGGATGTCATGACCTTGCGCCTCCATTTCCTCACCTGCAAAATGGAGAGTGTAATAGCACCGACCTCACGGGGTTGTCGTCAAGAGAGTTAAGTGAGTAGAGCGATGAGCAGGAAAATAGCAAAAGCGCCATATAAATGCTTCCTGTTGTTGTTCTGGTTATGATGGATCCCAGCGCAGCATTGTTGCTCCAGGTTCAATGTCGCCTGTCTCTTGGCCATCAGAGGCTCCCACCTGCCTGCCTGCCACACCCCTGTCTGCATTTGTCACACGTAGCGACTTTGCATATACGTATCAGGTTTGCATCAAGCAGGGGTCTCCCAGGTCGCAGGATCTGGAGCCAGGTTTACAGCCCGGCTCTGCTGAGGCCCTCGGCCAAGCCCACTGCCCTTCCTCCTCTGTCGATTCCTCTCTGTAATGGGAATTGCCCAGCTGACTCCCCGGCAGTCGGCGGGAGGGCCGGTGAGAAGAGTGGAGGGGAAAAGCCCCTCATAGATCTGCAGAGCAGTGCAGGAAAAGCATATTTAAATTGCCAGCTGTTCTGCCTGCTTCCAAGTGTCAGGCATGTGGTTCGTTGACTGGTGCTTTTCCTCGGACCTTGAGGTAACTCTGAGGCAGGTACTGTTTTTATGCCTGAGAGGTGCCCCGGCCATTTCCAGCATGCCCCTCAAAGATCCCCCCAAACCCCCTCCCCACAGGTGGGAAGGACGCCTCTCTCCCCCAAGATCCATGATCTTTCCACATTTCCCTCCTTTAGGCTGGGCTCGGGTCACCTTTGGCCTTAAATCTGTAAGCCCTGGTTCCTGCCCAGCTCCATCTGGAGCTTCTTGAAGGCAAGGGTGGCTTCTAGGTAACTTTGTCACCTCCCTGCCCCTTAGCTCAGTGTCTCACAACACCAACCTGGATGGTTAGGAAGGGTGGGAAGGATATGCATCTCCATATATGCATCTCACCCAGGACCGGGATCTGGTAGCCCCCAGCCACACCCCATCCTTGGTGGCTTGTATTCCATCCCCTCATAACCATTATTCCTCGTGGACTGTGAACCATCTGTGTCAGCAAAAGTCATTCTTCCAGTTTTCAGAGGAAGGCTTAAAGTTAATCAGGAACTTATCTGGCTTGGGTGCGTTCTTCATGAGTAGGCTAGAGCTCTGTCACGCAGAAAGGGGAGGGGGTAGGACAGTGGGCCTAAGATGACCCTGACAAGATGGAGTAGGTGTGGTTCAGCCACACACCCATATATGCAGACAAATGCATACAGCTGCTGAGTCAGGGGCCCCAGGACCACCCCCGGGTTCAGTGATTCACTGGGGGGACCCACAGGCCTCAGCCTATAGTCATACTCATGTCATAATTTATTATAGCAGAAGGATACAGCACAGTCAGCAAAGGGATAAGGCACATGGGGTAAGTCCGGGGGAACCAGTGCCAGCTTCCAGAGTCCCCTCCCCTTGGAGTCACACGGGATGCATAACAAGGTGTGACATCACACTTGAAATGCTCATTAGAGGGACGCTCATTAGAGACTCAGTGCCCAGGGTTTTTATTGGATGCTGGTCCCACAGGCACTCTCTGCCTAGCAGGTACCAAAATTCTACTCTCAGAAGGAAAGCAGGTGTTCAGCATAATGGTTTGGGCACTGGGAGCCCCTTTTATTGGTTAGGAATCCTAGAACCTTCCCAGCTGATTCGCAGACACCAGCCGAGGTTCAGCCTTGCGCGCAGGCCTTTCAGAGGAGAGCAGTCTCACGGTTAATTACCCTTTGTGCACAGCTGTGTGTTAACAGAGAGAGAAAGAAAGAAGCTGTTTGAAAATAGGAAGGAGCAGGTCATGAAAGTCAAGAATGCACTTGACCCTGTGGGAATCCATTAACCGCAGCTGCTGCTGGTTACTCTGAGGACACTGACCCTGACCTTCCCTCTAGATGATAACCTTCCTCCTTTCGTCCACCCACAGCTGAGCCCGACTCCACCTTTGCCTGCGAGTCAAGTCCCCGGAAACAAAGATTCTCACTTAAACTAGTGAGTGGCCTCCGGGGGAGCGGCACTGAGGGGAGGGCCTGGGGCTTTAGCAAATGCACCACTGACCTCCAAGCCCCTCTGTGGGCTGGGCAAGCCGGAGAGCACAGCCTTGGCCTGCAAGGAGCAGTGGGACCTTGGGTGGGGCACGTCTCCCTCTGGGCCTTGGGTTCTTCTACATGGGGCCCCTCAGAAACCACAGTCAGGTCCACCCACAAGCCCTGGCTCTGATGCTTTCTGGCTGTGTGTCTGGGCAAGTGCCCGAAACCTGGGACAGCTGGCTCGGGTGCCCTCCCTTGGCCCTAGATGGGGGCCGTGTGAGTGGTTCAGAGCCAGTGCTCCTGAACCAGGCTCGCAGATGAGTGATAGCACCTGCTTGCTGAGAGCCTGTCCTGCACCCAACCCTGGGCTAAGAGTTTCATAATCAAACCTGTGGGGTGGTTACTGTGTTTCCCATTTAACAGATGAGGAAATAAAGGCTTGGTCGCTTGCTCAGGGACGCCCATTATGAATATTGCTTTGTTCACTGCTGTATTGACAATGCCCAGAACAATACTAGGCACATAATAGGTGCTTTAAAGAAAGAATGAGTGAATGGCAGAGCTGAGATTTGAACCCAGTTCTCTTTGACCCTGTGCCCTGAAGAACCCAGCTGTACTAGTGTTTAATTAAAATATTTGGTTTGACTGTTTGGAAAAAATGACTCAATGTTAGTTATGGCTTAAACAAGTATATTTTATTGCTTTTCCATTTAACAGTCTGGGGGCAGTGGTCCAGGGCTGATATGATGGTTCCATAAACCAGGGGCTTACTTTCCTTCTCTCTTGTTGCTCCAGGCCCCTCAATCTATAACGTTCATCTCATGGGCTGAGATGGCTGCTCCACATCCTATCATCTCATCTGCATTCCAGCCAATTGGAACAGGAAAAGAGGAAGGGGAATGCCTGCCCTAGCCCTTTAAGGGCGTAACCTGGAAGTTGCCCGTATCTCTTCTGCTCACGTCCCCATTGGCCAGAACTCGGTCATGGGGCATTCCTCACTGCAAGGGAGACTGGGAAATGTAGTTTTTAGCTGAAGGGCGTGTGTCTAGGGAAAACGTGTAGATCCTATTGTAAAAGAAAAGGAACCTGGGCAGTGACTCAAAAGTCTCTGATGTATGTTCACATGGAGCACCCTAGGGAATTTGGTTCTGATGTGCAGGACTTGGGGAACCTGGGTTATTGCTGGCATTACCCTGGGGTAATCCATGGCCAGTGATGACCTTGGAGCCCTTGCCTAAGAGATTCCAGTGTGACAGCCTTTCCCCCTCCTCCTCCACTAGGATGCCAAGGATGGGCGCTTGTTTAACGAGCAGAACTTCTTCCAGCGGGCCGCCAAGCCTTTGCAAGGTATTCCTCAGCGAAGTGGGCAAGTGGGGGAAGAGTTGGGGGTACCAGCTTGGTCAAAACAACTGGCTTCTCCCTGAAGGTGTGGGGAGGGTGGGGATCAAATTAAAGGCCCAGGTTTGCTCCCATCACCCCTCGGGCCTCAGGCCCCAGAGGACAGACAGCGGACAGTGGGCTGAGGCTGGCTTGTCCTACCAGCTCTTGAGCGCCAAGTATTAAATTTTCACAAACACTGCAAGCCAGTTATTAAAACATAGCCATCGGACTTCCCTGGTGGTCCAGCGGTTAAAACTCCGCGCTCCCAATGCAGGGGGCCTGGGTTCAGTCCCTAGACAGAGAACTAGATCCCGCATGCCACAACGAAGATCCTGCGTGCTGCAACTAAGACCCAGCACAGCCAAATAAATAAATAAATATTGTTTTAAATAATAAAATTGCCCTCCAAGCTTTCAGTCATAGCCATCTTAAATAAATAAATAAATAAATAAAATAAAACATAGCCATCATAAATTAATTTTATCAATTTACAGTCAAATTAAGAGCAAGGGTAATAGATACTCAGAGCTCATCCCTTCCTAATTATTTGTCTACATTTCCTATCATCTAGACTTTTTTTTTTTTTGGCTACGCCTCTTGGCATGTGGGATCTTAGTTCCCCGACCAGGAATTGAACCCATGCCCCCTGCAGTGGAAGCATGGAGTCCTAACCGCTGGAGCGCCAGGGAAGTCCCTACTATCTATATTCTTGAGGTTGTTTACATTCACTGTATCTGTGTGGTGGAAATACCACGTAAGGGCACGCTACTGCCTCTCTTTCCACCTCAGTTTTCCATGATACCACATTGGTAGCTTGAAATTGGCCATACTGGGAAGTATTTACACCACAGAAATCAGCAAACACGACAAATCAGGGCTATCTTTCCCCAGACAACCAGCTGTTAAACTTTTATCAGCACACCGCTGGATCTTCACCATCCAACTGAGATCCTGGAAGGTGGGCGGACATGTAGTGACACCTTGACCAGTTTAGACACGCCCCGATCTCATTAGCTCTACATGGGAATTCAGAGGTTACGCTGTCACTCTTGCTGCTTACACTCACTCCAGATTTGTCAGTGCTTTCTCCCATGTTCACACCCCCTGTCGTCACCCCCCTCGCTGTCACGCACCCACAGAGGCGACATCACCAACCAGGAGACCCAGTGTGTGGCCTGGGCTCGGGCACGCTCTGCTTCTGGCCCGAGAACAGGCTGCTGTCCATTGTGGGTGCAGGGCCAGGTGGGCCCTAACCTCTGAGGCCCCTGCCTCCCACAGTGAACAAGTGGAAAAAGCGGTACTCGACCCCCCAGCTGGCCATCCCCACCTGTGTCGGTTTTGGCATTCACCAGAACAAGTACAGGTGAGTCACTTCACTTGCCACTCGCCTCACTGGCCCCTTCCTTTCTCTCCCTGTCACATGCCCAGGCATGGCTGGGACCCTGGAGTCATGGGCCAGATAGTTGCTTCCTTCCTTCCAGCCTTGAGCCAGGCTGGTCCCCCACCAATCTGAACCCTTCATCTCACCCAGGACCGGGATCTGGTAGCCCCCAGCCACACCCCATCCTTGGTGGCTTGTATTCCATCCCCTCCCCTGGTCATCTCTCCCACTTGCTGGGACACTCATGTCTTCCAGGTTCTTGGTTTTCCCCATCCTGGGGAGGAGCCTTCAGTCGATCCTGGATGACTACCCGAAGCCTGTGATGTCAGTGAGGTCTGTGTTCCAGATGGCCTGCCGGCTGGTAAGTCCCTGAGAGTTGCAGGCTCCCATCCAGAGGATGGCCCCCCGGGTCCTAGTTTATCAGTCTGTTTGCTCATTGACACGTTCAGCCCTCACCTCCCTCTGCTGGGCACTGGGGCGAGCACGGTGACCAACACAGCTGAACACCAGGCTGTTAGAACCAGAGTGATAAGTGGGACTTCCCTGGTGGTCCAGTGGTTAAGACTCCGCACTTCCAGTGCAGGGGGTGCGGGTTCAATCCCTGGTTGGGGAACTAAGATCCTGCATGCCGTGCAACGCGGCGAAAAAAAAAAAAAACAGAGTGATAAGTATTGTCAGGAGACCATAGCAGTTGGAGGAAGGGTCCCAGCCTAAATTGAGGGGTTCAGTTGAACTTCCCGGTAGAGGTCATTTCTAAGTCAAGAGTGGGAAATAGCAAGGTGCTGGCTAGAGCAGGAGTGGAGATGCGTGGGAGGGCATTCCAGGCCAAGGGTACGGCTTAGGCAGAGGCTGGTGTGGGGGAGAGAGCACACGACTTCTGTTCATTCATGCCTTCCTCTATCCATCGTTTCATTAAATATTTATCAGGTCCCTGCTGGGAATCAGACACTGTCCCAGGGGCTGGGAGTACCATGGGGGGCAGCACAGTCATGGTTTTTATGTCTAGTGGGAGAGGATGATATTAAATCACAGTTGCACAAATTGTGAAAAGGGCTTTGACTAGAAGTGATGGAGAATAAGAGGACCCAGTGTAAATTGCTGGAGGGATGGAAGTGGCAAGGGAGTGACACATCAGGTGAGTCCCAAAGGTCATTACGCTGAGTGTCTGCAGTGTGACGTGTAGAGGGGAAAGGTAACAGCTGAGGTTGGTGTGGAGAGCTCAGCAGTGACCAGATCACGCAGGACCTTGAACGCCAACCTGGGGAACCTGGACTCTGTCCCGAGGGTGCTGGGGAGCCACACGAGGATTGGGAATAGGGGAAGGGCAGGGTCAGCTCTGGGTGTAGAAAGACCCTGTGGGCCGTGTGGGGACGAGATGGAGGCTGGGTGAGGTCAGCACAGAGAGGACCCGGCCTGAGGAGGAGCTGGGCTGTGGGGATGGAGAGTTTGAACAAGCAGAACTTGGTGGGCAGTAGAGCCTTGGAGTCGACGGGGGCTTGGGTTGTAATCAAGATGTAAGGAGTACCTGGGCAGTTCAATATATGAGCTCAGTGGAAAAGTCAGAGCTAGAGATCAGAATATAAATTACTTAGCTAAATGTATTTCTGCTCCCTAGGGCAAATGAGAAAAAAACCTCTTTGATGTACATGAGTGCTGGGTTTTCTTTCTTGCGGGGGGTCAATAAGTAACCAGCTTCTTCCCCTCCTGAGATCAGCTAAGAGATAGACATAAGAGGTCAATGGAAAACCAAATATCAGCTTTAATGCTAAATTTTTCAAAAACCTAATTAGAAGACATGCTTAGATGTGCTGTCAGGGTGGGCTTCCTGATGCGTCACTTAGGAGTAGTCAGGCTTGGACCACCGCCACCACCACCACCACCCCCATCACAAGCAGCACCACGTGACCCCAGGCCCAACAGTGGGGGTTCCCTCCAAAGCTTTGCATCAGCGCCTCTTTGTGTTAGCCTGCTGCTCATGGAGATGCTTGCTTTCTTCCCCCCAGCTGGATGCCCTGGAGTTCCTCCATGAGAATGAGTATGTTCACGGCAATGTGACAGCTGAGAATATCTTTGTGAATCCAGAGGACTTGTGCCAGGTAATAGCCAGGTCCTCCTCCATCCTGGGGGCTCTCTGGGCTCAGGATCTCACCTGTCTGAAAACCTGCCTTTATTTCACAATGCTTATTGCAGACAAAGAATTGCTATCCATCATGTATAAAGAGTTCCTTCAAATAAATAAGAAGAGATAAGGAACTTAGTAGAAAGATAGACAAAGGATAGGAAAAGCAGTTCGTAGAAAAAGAAATCCACAGGTTCGTTAAATGTATGAAAAGATGCTTAACCTCCCTAATAGTCATAGCAATTACCCTTAAAATACATTATTTTTACCCTTTGCGTGGACAAAATTAAAAAGAAAAATAATATCTCCTGCTGATAGGATGTAAGGAACTAGGAATTCTTTATATACTATTGGAAGTATGAAATGGGCAACGTTTTTGGAAGGTAATTTGAATATAGCAGTCAAAATTCAAATGCATGTTTTTTGATCCACCGGGTCCTCTTTTAGGAACGTATCTTATCCATATATTCGAAGATACATGTACAAAATGTTCCTGACAACATTGATTGTGACAGTAAAATTGGAAAACCTCAAATATATGCTCCCAGTAGAGTACTAATTAGTATTTTAAAGTAAATTCTAATTACTCCTGCTAATGACAGAAACCCAATTTAACATGCCTTAAGCAAAAAAGAAAAAGGAAAAAATGTTTAAAAAGGGCCAAGTGCAATTTATTGCTCCATGGAGTGGAAAAATCTAGGACTTCACTGGCTTCAAGCATGGCTGAATCTAAGAACTCAGACCCTGTCACTGGGAAGCTGGCTCTTCCATTTCTGGGCTCTTCTTGTTTTTGCATTGCTCATAATCAGGCAAACTGTCTTCCCTGTGGTGACAAAATAACTGCCAGCAAATGAGGCTCAAATCCCCTCAGTTTAGCAACCCCAGTGGAAATAGATCAGGTGAGCCCCACCTCAGACACATGGACTGAGAATTGGAGAGGGGTCATCCCAGAGAAAAATCCTGGAACCATATTAGTCAGAGCTCTCTAAAGAAACAGAACCAATAGAATGTGTGTGTGTGTGTGTGTGTGTGTGTGTGTGCGCGTATATATGTAAGAGAGAGAAAGAGATTTATTATAAGATTTATCAGGAGAGCTGATAATGTGGTCTAGTCAGAGTCCAAAGGCCTGAAAACTAGAAGAGTTGATTGTGTGATTTCCAGTCTGAAAGCTGGCAGGCCCAAGACCCAAGAAGAGCCAATATTTCTGTTCAAATCTAAAGGCAGGAAAAGGCTGATGTTCGGCTCATGTGGTCAGGCAGGAGGCATTCCCTTTCACTCAGCCTTTGTGTTCTATTCAACTGATTGGGTGAGGCCCATGCACACTAGAGAGGGCAGTCTGTTTTATTCAGCCTACTGATTTAAATATTCATCTCATCCAGATACACCCTCACAGACACACCCAGAATAACCTTTGGCTACATGTCTGGGTACCCTGTGGCCCAGTCAGGCTGACACATAAAGTTAACCATCACAAACTGTGACCAGAAGAAAAAGATGTAGGTCTCACATGGACAAAGCCAACAGTTGTCTACTCTCCATTCGGCAGAATAAGATGCAGCCATTAGGGACTTCCCTGGTGGTGCAGTGGTTAAGAATCCGCCTGCCAATGCAGGGGACACAGGTTTGAGCCCTGGTCCAGGAAGATCCCACATGCTGCAGAGCAATTAAGCCCGTGCGCCACAACTACTGAGCCTGCGTGCCTAGAGCCCGTGCTCTGCAACAAGAGAAGCCACTGCAGTGAGAAGCCGTGTGCTGCAGTGAAGAGTAGCCCCCGCTCGCCGCAACTAGAGAAAGCCCGCACGCAGCAACAAAGACCCAACAAAGACATTAATTAATTAATTAATTATTTTTTAAATGCAGCCATTAAAAAGCTGATGTGGCTAACTTTGTGTGTCTAGTAGTTAAGGGCTTTTTGTTTTAAACTCAGTTAAGCCTCCTAACAGCCCTGCAAGGTGAGGATTGTCATATCTTCATTTTTCAAATGGAGAAATCAAAGCACAGAGAAGTTTCAAAATTTGCCCAAAGTTGTATGGCCACTGAAGGGCCAAGCTGGCATTGGAACCTCGTCTGTCTGGCTCTAGAGTTAATACACTGTTAAAGTGCAGTAAGCTGTGTGTCCAGCAGGAGGTAGAGTGTGATCCATGTGTGGGAAACTAGAGCCCCCTCCCAGACCACATGTGTTTACTGATTATTTAAAGAAAATGATTTGAAATAATACATAAGAATCTATATTAGTGGTTACTTCTGGACAGTGGGTTTAGGGGGGCTGAGCAGTGATGGGGACAGTTGGTTTGTGTTCTTTTCACACCCTTGTGTACTGTTTGGCATTATGTTCCAAATTGCACCCACGATTGAAATCTCTGACTCCAGAATCCAAGCTCCTAACCTTCAAACTGTATGGCTTCTCCCCACGTCCACACAGGTGACCCTGGCAGGCTACGGCTTCACCTTCCGCTATTCGCCAGGTGGCAGACACGTGGCGTACAACGAAGGCAGCAGGAGCCCACATGAGGGGGACCTTGAGTTCATTAGCATGGACCTGCACAAGGGATGTGGTAAGAGGCCAGAGAAGGGATTCAGGACCATGGAGACATGCTTCTCAGACAAGGGCAGTTGTAGGTTTTCACAGCCGCGGACAGCAGATGGCCAAGCACAGGAGTCAGGCTGAGCCAGGGAACCACAGTAGGGATTCAGAACCATGGATAGCGCCCACACACATGAAGGCATCTGTGGGGCAGTAGTCCAGCGCCAAGGGCAGTGAGCAGTTGACTGCAAGGAAGCCCTGCAGCTCCAGAGGTTCACGTTCAGGATCTGTGTAGACTTGGAACGTGAGAGTTGCCCAGGAGTCATCTAGGAGGGGCTGTTGAGTAAGCAGTTGGCTGTCCACGTCAGCAGCACAGGAGCGAGGTCTGGATGGAGACTCAGATGTCAGCAGTATCTCAGGAGTTGTCAGTTGAAGCCCAGAGATGGGAATGAAATTATCCAAGGAAGGTGTATGGGGAGAGAAGAGAGCACTTTGAGAAGAAGATTCCTTGAGGAGGTCTCGGCCTCTCCTTTCCAAACCCCTCGATATGACCATCCATGTGCCTGCCCGCCTCCTCCCACTAACTAAGCTCCCCCAGGGAAGCAATGGTACCTGTGCCTCCAGCACCAGAGGGCAAAGGTCTGGCAGAGTCAACTCTCAGTGTTTGTTGAATGCTTATATGGAGTGTTGTCTGCATCATGTGATTTAGGAAGCATAAGAAAAATCAAACCCTGCTGTCTCCTTTGCCCTCCCCTGCTGAGTGAGGCTGAGTTCAGTGCCCATCCTTCTGCGTTCCCTCATGTGCTGTTCTGTCTCCTCTGTAACCCAGGTGATCCCACACTATAACTGTCTGTCCACTGGACTGTCAAGGGCTGGGACCCAACCAACCTCTTATCTGTGTTTTAAGAATGTGGGAAGGGGCCTGGCACACAGGGCTCTGAGGACTCATTGAATAAATAGGTGCATGCATGAAAGACAAGTAGATGAGGGAGTGAGCCAGTGAAAGCGGGGATGAAGGGATGGCTGAGGGCGTGAATGAGTAATTGAGAGACCCATGAGGGACTGAGAGTAGGTGAGTAAGGAGTGAATGAACAGACGAGAGCCTGTATGTTTGGGTGGCTGAGTGTGTGAGCCCATGCTTGAGTCCATGAGAGAAAGGAAGGGGGGGGCGTGTCAGTGAGCAGGACATCTGGACTGAGCTGCCACCTCCTCCCCTCCCTCCCCAGGGCCCTCCCGCCGCAGTGACCTCCAGACCCTGGGCTACTGTCTGCTGAAGTGGCTCTATGGGACCCTGCCATGGACGAACTGCCTTCCCAACACCGAGGATATCATGAAGCTGAAACAGAAGTGAGTCTGGGGGTCAGCGGAGCCCATCACTGCCCAGTACTCCTGCAGGGGGGACTGAAGCTCAGAACCCAATAGGGAACAGAAAAGAGGCGGGGGCGGCTTCTGGCAGAGTCAAGGCCTCTGCAGTTCTCAGGAATCTGCCGTACCATCCATTCCAGCAGACAGGAGCGTGGGCTCTGGAGCCACACTGCCTGGGGTCAGACTCCAGCCCCACTGCTGCAGGGTGTTGGGTGGGCAGCTTAACCTCCACAAGCTTCAGTGTCCTCCATCAGGTGGGATTCTATTAGCACCCACCTCAGGGGGCTGTGGAAGGATTCGGGGGAGTCAGGTACGCAGCACTCAGCACAGAGCCTGGCCTGTAGAAAATGCTCACAGTGTACAGGACACCATGAGTCATTCACTCCCACGGGGACACACAGGCAACCTGAACAACTTGGCCTGGGCCCTGCCTCGGCATCTGGCAACACTGGCCTCTTTTACATGCTGCCCTCACCTCTGCATGTAAAAGCGCCGGTCCTGCTGGTTCTGTTAGATGCTCAGCACCAAGGACAGAGGGCACTGCGGTGCCAAGGGAGGTGCTGCTGAGTGTGTGGTTCAGCACCAAGGACAGAGGGCAGCTGGGCTCAGAGGGAAGCAAGCACAGGGGCTTTGGTCTTCAGCACCAAGGACAGTAGACGGCTAGATACAGGGAAGGTCTGCAGGTCCACATGTTGGGATTCAAGATCTGGTATAGGCTTGGGGCATGAGAGTTGCCCCAAGAGGAGTCATCCAGGAGGGGCCATCCAGGAGATAGTTGGCTCTCCCATCTGAAGTGCAGGAATGAAGTCCAAACGGAGCCTTAGACCCCAGCAGTGTCTCAGGAATTGTCAGCAGAAGCCCTGGGAGAGGATGAGAGATTATCCAGGAAAAGTGTGCAGAGTGGGAAGAGGGAAAGCTCTCCAGTGAACAGCATTGAGTCTGCCGTACTTTTCAGTTCTCAGCATGCTGTGTTGTTGGTTCCTGTTGAGCCTGTCTCTCATTTTATTTTGCCTCCTTTATTATCCCCCAACTTCCTTCTCTCAACTGGACACACATACTTGCTGAATATATGTCCTACCGATATGCTTGTGTAAATGTACTTGTATCCTTAAACTTGCATGACGGTGGTGGCACTGTGTGTATTTGACTTGCATAAATGGTATTCTGTTCTGAATCTCACCTGTTTCTGGCTTTTTTCACTCAACACTTTAACCCCATCATTACACGTGCATCAACTTTACTGCTTCTGACTACTGCTTTCACATAAGTTTGTATAGACACGTCTATGTCCTTAAACAACATATGATGAGTGTATTTTACTTGCATAAATGGTACTGTGCTCTAAATTTCATTCTCTTTCTTTCACTCAATGCTATATTTTTTAAACTTTACATTGTTAAAGAAGCTCAGTGCTTCTCCTCAATTAATTTTAGATGTAGCTGTGTCCTTGAAAAATATGTTGTGTTTGAAATATGTTATGTTTGATTTATGCCGATCGAATGCACACCCAGATGCCATGCCCCAGATCTCACCGTCCTTCAGGTTTCAGCTTAGTCGTCACTCCCCAGGGAGCCCTTCCCTCACCCGCACTGCATCAGGTCTCCTGATTGTTCATGCTCAGAGGAAGGGACACCTGTCACATTGGCCTGCCCGTAATGACCTGTTCAAGGCTGACCTTTATTGTATACTTTCCTGTGCCGGGCAGTGTGCCCAATGCTCCCCTGTGTCATCCTCAGAGCAGCTCTGAGGTAAGTGCTCTCATGATCTGAAAGCACAGAGAGCTTAGGTAGTCAGCCCAGGTCACACAGCTGACTAGAGTTGCTCCCAACTCATTTGACTCCAGAGGAGGCCCTTTCACCTGGAAGCTAGTGTCTCCCAAGTATGGGAGGCTTATCGCACGTGGATTGGTGGTGTTTGGATGCTACCATCCTCCACTCATCAAATACTCAGTGAGCACCTCCCATGCACCAGGCTCTATTCCAGGGCCTGGGGATACAGGAGTAACTAGGACAAACATCCCTGCCCTCAGGGAACTCGCATTCTAATGGGGGAGATAGACAGTACAGAGATAGTGAAACACACAGCATGGCAGAGGTCAGACGGTGGGGGCCATCAGGTCGGAACCCTGGGTAACCATTAGGGGGGGCTGTCAGGGTGTGGGCATGCCTGCTCTTTTAGACTTAAAGGCTAGGGCAGTTCTCATGGCAGTGGTGACAGATGAATCACCTCCAGAAAGGCAGTGAGGCAAGTAGGAGGTCCCACTTCGGTGCTAATATGCCCCAACATCTCTGCTGAAGGACGAAGAGATGGAGAAAGAGAGAGCAGCCTTCAGCTCCCAGGTTTCCTCTGCATCAGAACCTGCCAGAACATGAGCCCATTTCCCTGCTTTCTTCATTTCTTTCTGCACTTATTTTCTGGTTTTCAGTAGTTTTCCATTTTTGCATTGAAGCCAGGTGAAAACGAGTCACAGAATTAGCAACACAAGTAGTTGGAGCCCACAGCCCAGCCGCTAAAGCGGTTAAGTGAGGCTGAAGTTTGTGAACTGCTCCTTGAAGCGCTCTGCTGTGTTAGTGACGAGGCTGAGTTGCTCTTATGAGGAGACCCCGAAAGACTGCGGCTCAAACGAGGTAAATCTTTACTTCCTTCTCACTAACAGCCCCAAGGTAGGAGACCAAGGGTTGTGGGGTACCTCGGCCCCCCTCATACTGGGTGCGAGCTCTAGTGCCACTGACACGCGTTGCTTTTAGAGGGCAGGACCGGAAATGACATGTCTCTTGGTCACGTGGCCACCCCAAGCTGCAGTGGGGGCTGGGAAATGTCTCCAGCCTGTGGCTGCCGACCCCTGGGATTCTGCCATCACAGGGGAGAAGTGACACTGGGCGCCAGGTAGCGGACTCCTCCGCAGTGCCCCCTTTAGTCGATTTCTCTGAAGGCAGGGACCGCGTCAGCTCTCTTGTCACTGTGCTGTTCGCAGTACAGCGCTTGGCACGTGGGTGCTCACGAGATGGTTGCAGGACGGATGAACGACTAAGGAAAGAAGGCGTGAACCTTCTTCACACCCAGGCCTGGGCTTCCGTGTGGATACACGGGTCAGGCAGATGCAGCCCCAGCCTTGGAGGTGCCCAGGCTGGCAGGAGACGCACAGGCAGGAAGTGAGCGTTGCCTGTGAGGGTGGAGGCAGCCCCGGGGCATTTTGGGAGCAGAGGGGAGGCACGTGACCTGGCCTCAGGCCCCTGGGAGCCCTTACCCAAGAGACGCCTGACCCGGTCTGTCGAGGAGTTTCCCAGGCAGACAAAGGGGAAGCAAGATTTCTGCGTGGACAGCATGTCACATGTGTGAACACTCTGTTCGTTCTTTCGTGCATTCTGAACCTGCTTCCTGAGGCTCCGCTGGGCTGGATCCTCCCTCCCCCTACCTCCTCTAACTCCTAAGAACAGTCGTATCTCCCTTTTCACCTCTCTCCCACCATCCCCTTCACAGGAGTTAAACAAATGTGACTGGGACATGCTTCACTAAGAGGCTCCGCCCTTGCCAAGTCGGACGCAGAGTAAATAAAATAGGTCGTAGTAATCACTTTCATATCAATGACTTCAGAATAAGTAAGAGTTCCTTCCAGAACCCCAGATCCCAGCCACGATCACAGAGGGAGGGCGGGGAACATGAAAATGCTCCACAGAGAGCATCAGTGGTGATGTGGGACTCATTCTAGACACCCCCAGCCCAGCCTCTGTCGGTTGACTTGAGGCAGTAACCAAAGGGCCCACAAGGGGGCAGTGTTGCCACATGCACGTTTTCCGGACCCTTAACCTGTCCTCTCCGACGTCTTACTGGTGTGCGTGGCTTTTTTCCGTTCACTCAGCGAATATGTATTCATTTTTTTGAAAGTTCTAGTTCATGACAGAATGAATGAATAAAAGAAAGAGGAGAGGCAATTTGATTCCCCATGGCTTTCTGTTGTGCAAGGCCCCCAGCAGGGAAAGCACAGACTCCGGTTGGAGTTGGAGTTGCTTCCTGCTCTCAAGGCTGCCACTGGGGGGAGGTCCCACGAACACAGTGACAGCCTGTGATGGGAGAATTGCTCACACAATTTACAATGTCCTGAGGCTGGCACAGCCCTTTTCTGCCATCACTCGCTCGCTCAATCATTTACCACATACATCCTGAGGCTGCTGGGGAGAGACCAGGGTCAGACCCAGCCCTTCTTGTGCACATTTGAGAGTTGCTGTGGGGGATCCGTGGACCTACGCGCAGGGTGTGCAGACACTCAGCAGGGATCCATTTCCTCCACCTGCAGGGGTCCAGGGGAAGCTTCCAGGGGACCAGCCCTCAAGCCATGTCCAGAAGGGAGAGCAGCCACTCACTGGGGGTCAAGGTGGGGATAGGCTGCCAAAGGCAGAGGAGCAATATGTACAGAGGCCAGGGGATGTGGGTGGATGTGTGACCTGGTTGGGCTAGAAGGAGTTTGGTGTGACTGGAGTATGAGATGGAGGGAGGAAGCCAGGGAGGCAAAGCCACAGGGGCTGGTGGCTTTGCTGCCAGAGGTTTCCCAACAGGGCACTAGGGAACCACAGGAGGGCTGCGAGCAGGGAGGGGCAGGGTCCACTCTGGGCATAGAAAGACTCTCTGGGGCTGTGGGGGGCTGGGTGCATGGAAAGCTGGGGAGGAGGCTGGGGTCCAGGGAGAAAGGGTGAGGCCTGAGCTGGGCCATGGACAGAGGGGGGGGATGGGGCAGAGAGTGCAGGGGAGCAGGAGGGTGGGGCTTGGGGACTTGTGGGCTGTAGGGTGGGGAAGGGGAAGACAGCACCCCAGCCTGGGTGGACAGTGGGGAGCCAGCCCGGTGGTCCAGGCCAGAGGAGGATGCAGGAGGCCAGGACTCTGAGGATGGAGCCAAAGAAGTGGATGAACTTTCATTTCTCTTTCTTGCTTTTTTTTTTTAATTGAGGTAGGTTTACAATAGCATGTTCGGTTTTTTTTTAATAAATTTATTTTATTTATTAATTTTGACTGCGTTGGGTCTTTGTGGCCGCATGCGGGCTTTCTCTAGCTGCGGAGAGCAGGGCTACTCCTTGTTGCGGTTTGCAGGCTTCTCATTGCGGTGGCTTCTCTTGTTGCAGAGCACGGGCTCTAGGCGCGCGGGCTTCAGTAGTTGTGGCACGAGGGCTCAGCTGTCGTGGTTCACAGGCTCTAGAGCGCAGGCTCAGTAGTTGTGGCGCACAGGCTTAGTTGCTCCCCGGCATGTGGGATCTTCCCGGACCAGGGATCAAACCTGTGTCTCCTGCATTGGCAGGCGGGTTCTTAATCACTGTGCTACCAAGAAAGTCCCCAGCATGTTAGTTTCATTATACAGCACAGTAATTCAGTTATATGTATATGGATATATATATATGAATATATATGTGAACATATATATATTCTATTTCAGATTCTTTTCCCTTATAGATTATTACAAAATATTGAGTAGAGTTTCCTGTGCTATGCAGTAGGTCCTTGTTGGTTATCTATTTTATATATAGTACTGTGGATATGTTAATCCCAACCTCCTAGTTTATCCCTCCCCTCCCAACTTTCATTTTTCTTGAGTGGTCCAAGAGGGTGTATATGTGTGTGTGTGTCTGTCTGTCTGTGTGTCTGTGTCTGTGTATTTATACATGTATATGTATACAAATATGTGTGTGGATAGACAGATAGATAGTTGATCCTCATTATTCACAGATTCTGTATTTGTGAATTGACCTCTTCACTAAAATGTATTTGTAACCCCAAAATCAATACTTTGAATGGCTTTCAAAGTCATTCTCAGACACGCAGAGTGGAGAAAATTGAGTTGCCCGATGCACATGATCCTAGCCGAGGTTGAACAAGGCGACACTCTGCCTTCTTGTTTCAGCTCACAAGTGTCCTTCATGTGGTCTGTTTAGTGCCACACTTTCCACACTTTTATGCTTTTTGGGGGGGGATTTTGCTGTTTAAAATGGCCCCAAGCATAGTGATGAAGTGCTAAGTGCAAGGAAATACGTGTGTGAGATGAGCACCCTTCAGGTGTGAACTATAGTGCTGTAGGACCAGAGATCCATGTGAATGAATCAACATTATATTAAATAAGATGTCTTTAGGCACACAGGTAAAACCAGGTGATGTATTGATCAGCTGGTAAAAATGTTACGATTGGAAGCTGTGCTTCTGGTAAACTCCTGGCTCAGAATTCACTCCTTCAGTGTCCAAGGCCTAACTACCATGCATAATGAGAACTAGGGCACATCTACCAGACATCCTGTTTCAGAAGGTTGCTCTCCTTCCCTAAAAGGCCTTTCACATGTACCTCTGTCCTCTCAGGTTTCTTGGCAACCCAGAAGGCCTCGTGGGACAGTGCAGTCGCTGGATCAATACCTCAGGTATGTCCCAAGGGGAGGGAGCAGGCGGGGGCCTTGGAGGGACCGGGGCTCAGGCCCATCCCGGGGATGCCTCTCTTTACACCCCTCTATATTCCTTCTTTGAGTTTTCCAAATCACACATGTATTTGTGCCCCTTGTAGAAAAACAGAAATCTCCCCCCAAATTTCAGAAGTGTGTCTGAACAATAATAACAGCAACACACACACACACACATGCAACCACACACACATAATGTGTGGGGTTTTTTAATGGAATCATATTACGTATATTGGTCTCTGACTTACTTTTTCATTTAAGAAGGTGATACCTTAGAGATTTCTGTGTCAATACTTGTAGAATTTTATGGGTATTTTTTTTTAATTGTGGTATAATACACTTAACGTCAGTTAAAACTACAGTTCTGACTCATTAGTCAGTCCTGAAATCCATTTAACGGGTCAAAAACAGGATTTTTAAAAATTAAAAAACAGAAAAATATGAATGCCTTACAGAAGTTAAGGAAATGCCATATCTTCAGTGATACATATTTATATTCATATATATGTATGTGAGTAATGGGTTATAATTAGAAATACATCTTACATTTACATTTTATGTTATAAAATGTATTTTTAATTATATCTCTATTATAATTTCATTTGTTTTTTTGTTTGTTTGTTTTTAGATTCCACATATAAGCAATATCATATGATATTTGTCTTTCTCTGTCTGGCTTATTTCACTTAGTTTGATAATCCATGTTGCTGCAAATGGCATTATCTCATTCTTTTTTTGGCTGAGTAATATTCCACTGTATATATATATATGCCACATCTTCTTTATTCATTCATCTGTCAATGGTCATTTACGTTGCTCCCCTGTCTTGCCTACTTTAAATAGTGATGCTATGAATACTGGGGTGTGTGTATGATTTTGAATTAGAGGTTTCTATGGGTATATGCCCAGAAGTGGGATTGCTGGTTCATATGGTAACTCTATTTTTAGTTTTCTGAGGAAACCTCCATACTGTTCTCCATAGTGGCTGCACCACTTTACATTCCCACCAACAGTGTAGGAGGGTTCCCTTTTCTTCACACCCTCTCCAGCATTTATTGTTTGTAGACTTTTCGCTGATGGCCATTCTGACCGGAGTGAGGTGATAACCTCATTGTAGTTTCAATTTGCATTTCTCTAATAATTAGCGATGTTGAGCATCTTTTCATGTAAACCATCATTTTTAAAGCCAATCCCTATTACTGGAGATTGAGGCTGTTTTTGTTTTGTTTGGGGGAGTGTTTTTTTCCAGCATCCCTGCTATAGGACGTCTACATTGCTCTCTAAACATGAGGCAGAAAGACAGCCGGAAAAGGATAGTTTATCCCCTCCAGCTCTGTAAGGACTCTTTTGCGGTACGCGGGCCTCTCATTGTTGTGGCCTCTCCCGTTGGGGCGCCCAGGCTCCGGACGCGCAGGCTCAGCGGCCATGGCTCACGGGCCCAGCCGCTCCACGGCAGGTGGGATCTTCCCCGACCCGGGGCACGAACCCGCGTCCCCTGTATCGGCAGGCGGACTCTCAACCACTGCGCCACCAGGGAAGCCCAGGACTCATTTTTAAATTAACTGAAATCCCTGGATTCAGATCATGTCTCTGCTGCTCAAGTCACTCTCCCCTCCAGCCTCGGGCTCTTGCTCCGTAAGAATGAGCCCCATCGGCAGTTCCCTGGTGGTCTAGTGGTTAGGATGCCAGACTTTTACTGCCGAGGGCCCGGCCAGGTTCAATCCCTGGTCGGGGAACTGAGATTATGCAAGCTGTGCCAGCATGGCCAGAAAAAAACAAGGAGCCCCACGGTTAGTTTATTACAGCTCTGCTGATTCTAAGCCAGTCACGGGGAAGTGGAGCTGGTGGCACCAGTGGGGCTGGTGGGGCCGGGCTTGGGGTGGGCGGGGCCAGAAGGAAGTTCAGCCCCAGGTTTACCAGCCTCTCTGAGCCTCCGCTTCCCCACGTGTAAAATGGGGCCAATAATAGCCCTCACCTCCCGAGGGTTATCGCGAGAATTCGGTGTAGAGCCTGGCCCAGGGGTGCGGCCTTAGCTTCTGTTGCAGCCCTAATCAAACGTGCTCAGAGCCAGCCCGAGACAGACATTGCTCAAGTGGGAGCTATTACGATTACTGTATTGGTTTCATAATTGGCACTTTTAAAAAGTGTAATAATGACATTGTGCTATTTAGGGAAAACAAACAACAAAAAGGCTTTATCTTTTAAAACAGCCTCTATCTTTCAAACTCCGTCCCTGGGACAGCCAGCCTGGTTTTGTAAGCCAGTGAACTAAGTTTCTGTGGGGTTTTTTTGGCCTCAAACCCTGACTCGCGGGATCTTAGTTCCCTGACCAGGGATCCAGCCCGTGCCCCCTGCAGTGGAAGCGTGGAGTCATAACCACAGGACTGCAAGGGAAGTCCCCTAAGAATTGTTTTACAGTTTGAAATGGCTGGGGAGAAAAGTCAAGAGAAGAACACTTTGTGACACGTGAAAGCTGTCTGACGTTCCAGCTGCAGAGTCCATAAATAAAGTAGTCTTGGTGCATAGGTACGCCCATTGGCTTCTTGCCTTCCGTGGGCCTTTTGTGGGAGAACAGCTGAGTTGGGTCCTGGCCACAGAGATTCCCAGCGTACAAAGCCAAAAATATTTATTCTCTGGCACTTTACAGTAAAAGCTTGCTGGCTCCCATTTAGAGATACCCACCAAATAGTTGGAGATAAAATCATATAATCAGCCTGGATTTGCTTTAAAACAATACAGCAGGGGGAAGGGGTAGGGGTTTTGATGAAACAAGATGGGCATGAATTGACAGCTGATGAGACTGGGTGACGGGTACGCTGCTGTTCATGGTACCGCTCTCCTGTTGCTTACATTTGATGTTTTCCAAAAAAAACAATTTAAATCTAAATGGTCGTGGCAGTGCCGGGCACAGAGGAAGCACTGAGCACCACGGCTGAGACCCTCTAGGCAGAGCCCCTCAGGCTCTGGGTTGGGTACCCCTCTCAGGCTCCTCCCGTGTCTTGACCACAGAGACCCTGCAGGAGTACCTGAAGGTGGTGATGGCCCTCAAGTACGAGGAGAAGCCGCCCTACACCGCCCTGAGGAGCAATCTGAAAGCCCTGCTTCAGGATCTGCGGGTGTCGGCCTATGACCCCTTGGACCTCCAGGTGGTACCCTAGGTGCGTTCCAGTGGGAAGAGTTTGTGAGGCTTAACCCTCTCCCCAGCTCCCACCGCTGTTTCCACCGATGCCATTTGATGTTTATACTCCAGGAGCCAACTTCCCAGTGAGCTGCTGCCTTTTTCCACAGGATTCTTGAACCTTCCAGCCCCCAGGCATCACAAGTAGCACAAGTAGCAGGAACTCGACTCAAACTGGCTTTAAGGAAGAGGGCAATTGATTGGCCCTTGTCACTAGAATATTCCGAGGGGGAAACTTTAGGTGTGACTGGATTCAGGGCCTGGAAGTTAGCACCAAGATGTTGTCTGTCTCTCTGTCTTTCTCTGTCCCTTTTCTCATCCCTCCATCCCTCTACCCATCCACCTGCAGTCGCTGCTTTCCTTTGGGTCACCCCCCCCAAAAACCCCATCTGTCCCCCACCAAAACCCCTGGCTCTGTGTCCAGTGCCTCACCTTGCTCGTGTGTGTGTGTGTGTGTGTGTGTGTGTGTGTGTGTGATGACTCTAATGTTTGACTACAGTAAGCATACACGTACAGGAAGTAGGGGAGCTAACGCCCAGGAGCTAGAAAGGCCACACAGTACAACACGTGGATGAACACATCGACAAAAGGTTCCACATCTTTATAAAAGGGGCTGTATTGGTCCTTTTGCATTTTTCGTTGTTGTTCCACTGAGCCCATATGGCCATTCCTTGGGATCATGGGGAAGGGCAATTCATACAGTTTGGTTCCTTCCCTCACAGTCTTGCAGCTCTTCCATGGTGGAGGTGAAGGATGCTCTTTATGACGCCAGTGGCTGGGTGTTTGCTTGCTTTGCCAGGGTTTTGTTTTCCAGACAAAACACCTTGAACACTCGTGTGCACACAGGCCTGAGGATGGATTTCTTTTGAAGGGGATAAGCAGATTGCTCTGCCCGGGGGCTGTACTCACTCATTTACACTCCCCTTAGCACTGAGTGAGAGCGTACAGGAATCTGTGGAAGGTCAAAATTATAAACTCAGTTCACTTGACGGTTCATTTTGGCGAGGCAGCATGGATGGGTTCTGAGGAGCAGCTTCCCCAAGGCCCTCCCCTCTCCGTGGGGTTGTCATTTCTCTCACATGTCTGTCTGGATTCAAAGCTCAGTGTCTGTCCAACTCAGTGGTTCTCAGACAGAGGCAGTGTTCCCCCAGGGGCCATTTGGCAGTGTCTGGAGACATTTTTGGTGCTCACGCCTGGGGAGAGGTGCTGCTGGCATCTCAGGGGTCGAAGCCGGGGATGCTGCTACCTGTTGTGCGACACACAGGCCGCCCTGCTGTCAGCAGTGCCATGGCCGAGGAAGCAGGCCCACGTGCGTCTTGAGGAGCGTCCTTGCGGGCGGCAGCCTGTCTCCCACAGTGTGGTCTTCTTCCGTTGGCACCTTGACAACAGGTGCGTCTTCAGCCCTGCAACCCCTACTCACATCCCAGAGCTGAAACCACGAGGTGACGTGTGTGTCCGGCTCTTCACACGGTGCCTGGGTGCAGAGCGCTCCAAAAATGCCAGGTTGTTTGTTTGTTTGTTCAGTAACCTAGCAGGCTTCCTGCCTAAATCACAGACACTCTCCAGAAGTGAAGGCGTGACCTCCACCCAGCTTGCCACCCTCCCAGTCTCTGTCCCCCCAACCCCCAGCTGTCCTGAGAGACCTCTGGGTCCTCCCACACCCCTCTCTGCCCCCAGCCCTGTCCCTGCAGGCGGCTGCCAAGTCTCTTCTAGCCCTCTCCTCCAGGGCTCTGCCTCTGCCCGGACCCCCCAGAGTTTGGTCACCTGCTGGCGGTGAGCTCTGGGAGGGCTGGGTCACGTCTGTTTCTGCACCTCTGTGCTTTCCACTCACCTCACTGGCCTGGCTCATAAATATTCCACCCATATCTACCGAGTGGGTGAGTCCAGCCTTCCCGTCAGTGCTGGCCTGTCTTACAGTACCTCTCTGTCTCCCACCCCCAGTACCATGGAAATTTAAAAGCTAAAGACCAAACGGCCCCTTTCAGGATCATTACAGCTCACTCTCTGGGGACCACTTACTCACTGCCAAGTTTGTCCCTTGGTTAGGAACTTAATGAAGAAATGCTCCTTAAGGAGCCCGGGGACTTTGGAGTAACTTGAGGATCATCTTGCCTCTGCCTTGGCCCGAGCGCCCAACCACCCCTCAGATTCTAGGCCAGGCCAAGCTCAATCCTACCTCAGGACCTTTGCACTTGCCATTCGCATGGTCTGTGACGATTTTCCCCTTCTTTTATTATTTATTTATTTATTTATGTACGTATTATTTTTGGCTGCGTTGGGTCTTCGTTGCTGTGCGCGGGCTTTCTCTAGTTGCGGTGAGCGGGGGCTACTCTTCCTTGCGGTGCACAGGCTTCTCATTGCGGGGGCTTCTCTTGTCGCGGAGCACGGGCTCTAGGCGCGCGGGCTTCAGTAATTGTGGCACACAGGCTCAGTTGTGGCATACGGACTGTAGAGCGCAGGCTTCAGTAGTTGTGGCACACGGGCTCAGTAGTTGCGTTGCGGGCTCTAGAACACAGGCTTAATAGTTGTGGTGCACGGGCTTAGTTGCTCCTCAGCATGTGGGATCTTCCGAGACCAGCGCTCGAACCCGTGTCCCCTGCATTGGCAGGCGGTTTCTTAACAACTGCGCCACCAGGGAAGTCCCTCCCCTTCGTTTTTGCATGACTGGCTCCTTCTCATCACTGCCTCTCAGATCCCAAGGCCTCCCCTTGTCGCCTTCTGGAGGGAAACGTGTTTAATCTGTCATGTCTCCACGCTTCTCCTCCAGACTGTAAGCCCAGCAAAGTCTTCTTGTTCCTCTTGTTCGTGGTGGTATCTCGCGTCCCTGGAAAGTAGAAAGCCCCTTTCACACAGTAGGGGCTTAAAGGGTGCTCTTTGAATGAATGACACTGACAGCCATTTTTATCGTCTTCTAGAACTTTCAGCCTGCAGTTTGAAATAGAAAAAAAAAAAAAAGAAGATATGTGACTCAAGGCCTGCTGTAGAATCACAGACAAGCTTCTAGAAAGATCCCTCGAATGTGCATTCC